AGTAGGCATGTGGAAGACCGAGCCTGCGTATCGTCCTCTTGGGTCTTTTACCTGGCGCTGAAATTCTGCCCCCCCCTTAAACATCTGTACAAATGGACCACAGGTCACATAGTGCCTAAAACTGAACAGGCAATCTATGTGGAGACATCCTCAGCTTTCAGGTCACACTCATCACCTTCACTTTGTTCCAGCTCATTTGTGAGCTAGTTCGTTGTGTTTTATCTCAGTTCTTCTCTGCCTTTGCCTAGACTTTCAAGCTTGAAAAGATTAAAGCAAACTTAAAACATGTTTCAGCTCAAGCTCCAGTGGAGCCTTATTTTAGTCGACTCTCTGCCCAGCAATGAAAACATCAGTAATGGAATTTGATTCTTCTTTATAAAACTTGAAAATAAGCTTTTCTGTAATTCAGCCATTCATTATGGAAACATCCTAGCACAGAGGCAAGTGTCTTCTGGGCATGATCACTAGGAATGGCAGAAGGGATTAATTTTCTATGGAGGAAATTATATCAACACATATTGGGAGAGGACATACAGCATTTTTGCTTTTTTTATGATAGGTTTGATGTTGTGTAAGACACTGAATCTTTTGGAAGGAGAAGTAGTAGTATTATTAAAATTGCTTAGCCTGGGAGCGTTAGGTGACTTTGGAAAAGGCTCTTGTGTCAGATCTCAGTACAGACACTGCTGACTCAGGCTTTTTGCAGAGGATGTGCGATTCACCTTCCTCCCCTGACAGTAACACTTCTGTTACACAGTGAGTAACACATTTCCTCTGACAGTAACACTTTTGCTTATATAGCTGGTATTTCATCGAACATCTTTGTTTCTGTCCTTCATTTGGTTCTGTTACATAACTTCTGGGTCTCCTAACTGTAAGATGCTATATAATAAACTTCATAAAACTGGTATTTCTTATAATAAAAAAATCTAAGTGGAAGGGAACTAATAGTTCATTGTGGTCTCAATTTTAAATTACGTTCTGGGACAAAAAAAACTTGGTTTAAATAACTATATTCTCTCCTCAGAAATACTGACATAGTGGCACTCCAAGAGAAAGCCACCCAGAGACACGTTGAGACATTATAGGGATACTACTGACATTACCACTGCTACGCCAGGACCACTGATGTGGTAATTTTATTGCAGTGCCAGGAGGTTTCAGTGATTAATATGAAAACAAACAGACAAAAAAACCCCAGTGTCAATGGAAGTGCAATAGATGTTAGTCCAGTGGCCCTGCCTCTGCAGATAACTGCTGCAGACATCAGTAAAACATAAACAAAAGTTTTAATAAGACTTGTCGATAGGAGCCATCACTTAGCTCACGCAGACGGGAGAAAAGATAATTCAGACCATCCCAGTGCACGCAGCCTCACGCCACCAACGGCACCAGCGTTAACCCTTCCACCAGATGGCTAGTTCTTTTAATTCAGAGCGTAAAATCACGCATGTATTATGAGAGTCTGTCACTTTATATAGTGACCTACATATATCCAACTATGTCTTGCGAATAGTCAGATCAGGTGAACTGAAACTTCTGTGCTTCCTGTTAATGTGGTGTGGTTGCACAGCAGTGACTCAGTGACATGGCAAAGTGGAATTACTGACATAGTGTATCTTAAAGAAAACCACTCTAACTGGGAACAGAATTTTGCAAGCTGGTTTATAATCCAAAATTCCGTGACAAACAGTTCTCAGATTAAGAAATAGGCCCAGCATTACGCACCTTGATTTACCAACTACCATCAGTTTTATCATGTAATAAATCCACACCATCTTGAGTAGCTAAGTAAAGTCATTTTGAAGGGAAGCAACATTACTTAAGGTGAAGTACTTGTGCCCAGACACTGCCCGTACACCAGCGCTTCCATTAAGGCTCTGAGCTCAGCATCATCTCCTGAAGGTAAGCCCCTGGCTGCTCAGTTGTTCTGTATAGCAGGGCTGCTAGAGAAGGCGGTGACAGTTCCCATGTTGTTAACAGTAGTCTTCTAGTTAGTATCCATCCCTAGGAAGTCAACAGCCCATGCCCCAGCCCTTCCCCAGCCTGAGGTTATGCTATTGCCTATCTCCCAGGAGAGCCTCTGAGTGAGTTTCCTGTTGGAGTGGGACTATTGTCAAGAACATGAGATTTATGGGGCCAAAAGGAGACCAAACAAAATAGCTGCAGCCTAGCAATTAGGATGCTGTTTTCCTGGGTTATCCGTTTTTAGCCACATGTCGTGTAAGCTAAAATACATAAACAGGCTGGAGCCAGCTTCCCACTGGAAACACAAAGAGCGCGCTCCTCACGAGAGCACCGTTCTGGGAACTCATGGACCCACTCCAGCCAGGAGGCACCAGGCCTCGGCAGGTTTCCCCTGGCCCCACAAGATACCTCGGAGCGAGAGCCGGGCACCCAGCTCTCCAGAACAGGGTGCAACCACAGATGCCTATATGTGTGTGTCACACCAACCCAGTGACCAGAAAGGGACCTAGGAAGGGAAAAATCCAGAAGTCCAGGCTTTCTGGATCTTGTTAGCCCTTTCTATTCTACTTCAAGTCTTGAAGTAGGTGCTTTGGAGACATGCCAGCACATGACAGTATTAAACAAAGTCACCTTGAACAAAAAACTATTTTTTTTAATATATATATATGCACACACATATATATATACATACAAACATACATACGTGTGTATATCAGATACAAACACAGTTTAAAGGAAAAGCTTTGAAGCCCACTCAAAACCTGCACGTCACTGCCTTAGTTACCTCAGGAAAGGTAAACTGGCATAAATGTGAATCAGTCACATTTACAAAGCTGATACACACTTACCAGAAGACTTTACCAAGACCTCTGACGAAAGTGGGGGAGTGAGAAGCTTCAGTTGTCCTTTTCCCTTCCACTCAAGAACTGTCTGCACTAAAGAGGATTTGCTGCCACGACTGTACCACCAACCTTCCCCTTCAAAGAGCAAGTTCATACCAGCGAACGCGTGCTTTTGCTGTTAAACTTTTATTCCAGTCCCATGAATGGAATAAACTGATCTGACAAAAGGTCTGTAAGCTGTGAACACTATCAGGCCTTGCTCGCCTTCCCAAAGGACTGCCAGTTTCCAGGTGAATCTTGTGCGGTTCTCAGTCCTCCAACCTAACAAGACACTGCAGGACCACCGAGTGCCGTCCTTCACAGACAGGCAACAGGCTTATTATCTGGCAAGATGTGAAGGCTTTTGAGAAGCAACAGACTGGAATTAAGTCTCCTCTTTGTGGGCTCGCTGGGGGAATGCTTTATTGGCAGGAATACTGGGTAAAGGACGGCCTTTTCCCAACTGGCAGTGGTCAGTGAGGAAGAGCTGGCTTATTTACTTCTACAGGTGGTTGAGAGCTGTGAACCCCCAACAGCAAGATTCAGCCAGCAGGTATACCCAACTTGGGAACACGACCTGAAGACAATTCAATGCTTATTGACTAGGTCCATTATTAATGTGTTGGTTTTGTAAATCTTGACCTTAGTCAACAAGCTCCCAAAGCTGTTTATTCCTTAGATGTATCTCCTATTGGCAACTGCCTTCCTCCTTGTTTATCTACTTGGTCTCTCCACTTCAAAGTTTCTAAGATTTCCTTGACAGAAAACAATACACATTCACTGTACAGCACACATTTGTAATTATTAATAAAGGGTGGACTTTTGAACCTTTTTTCCATGTTCAGCTTGCTGGAAAACACAACAGGAAACATGTTTGAAGGTTGGTCTGAAACACTCAGCAAAGCAAAACAAAAAGCCCTCTTGAACTAGATAAACAACAATAGCAGAAAGCAGGCACAAAGGATTTCGTATCTGCCTTGAAAACTATAGAAGAGCATCCTTCAGAAGCTTTGCGCTAGCATTATTCAAAAAACATATTTTGTCTACATTTCCCTTAAATACTTCTGTCCAAAAGTAAATTCAATTAGAACATTTCAGGCTTCAGACAGGAAATAATGTCATGATGATGTGTGGGACACCAGGGGCTTCCATTCTCAACTCTAAATTGGGTTTGTACCCCCATGCAACAAAAATGTCTCCCTTCTTTACCACTATTTCTACAGAAATCAACACACATGTAGCAGACCAACCCAGATGCACCAGACTCATAGTGCAATACTGTAAGCGAAATTGGGACATACGCTGTTGTAACATCTATGACTTGCAGGCCTCAAAATCAGGCCTGCACAAAAACTCTGACAGAGCTGTCAGATAGCCAGGAATCACAGGCAAACCTAGAAAAACAAAAATAAAAGATTTAAAAAGAGGATTACAGGTACCACAGAGGAGAAGTAATGGATGATTAGAGCTCTTGGCCATGAGAACCAGGAGAACGTGTTGAATATGAAGAACATAGACAGAAGACACCCAAATTAACCCACCCGCAATACATTGCAGCAACATTCCCTCCTAAACAAAAGTATTTCCATTTTTTAGCCATGAAGTTTTCCACTATAAAAATATCATTTTAGAGGAAAACTGGAAATTTTCATAGAGGCTGTTGCACGCAAATACAATTTCCCTTTCAGCAGAAACCTTCTGACCAATTATAACTTACATATTAAGCGCATGCCACAGAATAATCCCAGAAGTCCTCGAAATAAAATAAAATACCTTGATTTGTTTCAAAAAACTCCACTGGTAGGAAGCTACTGCAATGCACAATTTCTGGAAGAAGCGGACACTGTTTTCCAACATGATCAGTGCTGGATAGCATTCACTCTTTAAATCAACACCTCATTTGTTGGGGACTGGCCCTTTGGGCATTGCAGCCTTCCAGCCTGTGTAGCATCCATCTGCTCTAGGTCACGATTCCAAGTATCTGTAGCCAGTCACAATTCCAAGTATCAACATATCTAGCTTTAGTAACTTATTCTTTCTGAAGATCAGTTCCAAGGTCTTGCCTTTGAAAAGTCCACAGATGTTCCAGCTGAACAGGTGAAACAGAGAACTAAACAGAGAAGGCCCAACAAAATAGGCTCTACGAATTTATTTGGCCTAACTTGAATAGAAACAAACCAAACCACCTTTTTTATTTTCAGTAATAAGCATACATAATTGTGTACAAAATTGAAATGTAAGCAAATGTGTACAAAACTCAACAACTTTGTTCTTGTATAAAATTTCCAAATGAAGTAATATTAAAACTTCAAGCCACGCAAGAAGAACCAAACTGCCTGCTAGCCAGCTATTTCCTCTACTTCATGTTAACTTGTTTGCAACACTTGGAAAGATAAAACAAGCTGTCAGCATAAATCACAAACATTTTTCACTGTGACAACCGTAACAGTATGCCAGTCTCTCCAGCAACAGGCAACTAGGAGGAGAGGTAATTAAAATGTCAAAGACTAGAAAAAACATTCTTCTGAGTTTACTTTAAGAGATCAACTACTCCTAAATACCTGAGTTCGAAGTGGGACTGGGGAAGGCCACTGTTTAAGGTGGCTGAGGTTGCTTTTTCTAGAGAAGTTGAAATTAACACTAAACACGGGTCTTGCTCACAAAAAGACAAATGTTCACATCAGTACATCTGACGAACTGCAGTACTGTACACATTGAATTCTAATAGTCATCCTGGCCAAAAAACTGTGGACAATGAACAAATGCTAACGCTTAGTGTCCTTTTCTCAAACTCCTGTATGTTCCATGTTAGCTTCATTAAGAAATACGAAGAACTTTTTGGTAACAGGTTAAAAGCAGTAAGCAGAATCATAGAATCATTAAGGTTGGAAAAGACCTCTAAGATCATCGAGTCCAACCATCAAGTAGTAAAAGTAACTTGTTGTTACAGCACTGTGTTGCACTGACAATTCATACAGTAACATAAACAAATATACCACAGTTGCCTTTAAGATAGCTGGTTAAAATCAAGCAACTGAGGTGTTTGGTGAATGATGGTGTTGCCCCTGAACACTGTCCCAGGTCATACTGCGTGACTGCAGCAGAATACCTTGAAAAGTAACACACAGGTTGCATAAAAAAAATAATTATCTCAGTTTCAAGAGGTGCCACTGTAAAAAAAACCAAAAACCCACATGGCTGTTGCGACATAGTGAATTAAGACATAACTCTCAGATATAAAGGACGTACATTTTCAACACTGGTTTAAATATTGAAATTTTAAATTGGGATGGCAAGTCCTAAAAGTTGGGCTGTATTAGTGGTAAGTGAAAGGATGCTGCATGATATCTACAATCACAATTTTTTAAAATGTACACTACAAACTATAAAAAAATAAATCATTTTACAGAACAGTTTCTCTACAACAGGTGGGAGAGATTATGCCTTGCCCCAGAAATCCTTCCTCTTCTGAGCTCGTTCCAGTATCTGAGATGCAAGCGAGCTAGATGCTGCCGAGCGAGCAGAAATCTGAGACAACCTGTCATCTGTGGGGAAAGCAACAAGGCAAAAAGTAAATAGGAAGATTAAATATACATATTAAAACACAATTGACATTCATGGCAGACTTTGAAAGTGCAAATATTTTTATGCCCTTTTTCAAAATGGATGCTAAAATAGTACCACAATACACCTTAATTCTATTACTTGGTAACTGACATGCTGGAGAAGAATCTCACTAGAAAGCTACTAGGTAAGTTTAGGAGAGCTACGTGCCCAACTCTTGACAAACTCCAGAATGATATCCCTACTGTCACCTGGGAATTGCCCAATTCTCCAAGTCATCTTTACATTTACTCTCCTGTGTCAGAAGACCTCAGAAATCGTTCCTCTGCAACTGAAGTCTGTATAGACTAGACTCTGATAATGACATATTCATGAAAGCAACCCACCGCTTCAAGCAAAGCAGACAACCTTAGAATAACACGACTAAAATATCAGAACCTATGTTGCCGCAAGAGCCCTTCTGTGCCAAAACCAGCTAGTTTACCACAAGCTGTTAAAAGGAATGTGTCTTCTGAAGAGAACAGGAAGTTTAACACAAAGACAACAAGAAGCATGCTTTAAAAATGTGCTTTTGAAAGGTCTTCCTTTCAAATACGGGGTCCACTTCACACCCAGCAGAACTCTTAAAATTAAGCAGCCTGGATACTGCTTCTCTGATAAAGCACAACATTATACTTCTTTAACATCATTATTAAAATGTTGCTACAGCTCTGTCAAGATGCTCTCTATGAAAAATGACCTTAATTACACCCATTCTCCTGCAATGGATTAAAAAGAACTGTTTCACTACTTTCCAGCCCACCCTACCAACAAAAAAACAACAAAAAATTCCACAACTCAATCCTAACAGGACCTGTACTTTGTCGGTGTTTCAATTAACTTTTCAGCAGCGTTTCTGAATTCTTGAAATACAGTGATCCAGACAGCCCGTAACAGGCTCACACGCTATGCGTAACAACTATATCCCCGCATATGAGAAAACTGCTAACTGCACTTCTGCAAACAGGCATGTCATTGGAATAACTCCCAGGTTAGACTGTACATGAACAAATACGGGCATATGAAATATCTATGAGCTGGCACTTTGCACCTGTTTCTGAAAGCTCACACATCATCACTCAGCTCACAGGAAAAAAAAGAAAAAGAAACAGCAGCTACAGCATTTAATCTGTGTGTGGCAAGCTTGTGGGAAGCTGCAGAGTACTATAGGATTTTGCATGTTTTACGTAGGTACACAGATGCTTGGCTGAGCCATCTGCACAACCCACACATTTTCCAGCCAACTGCAATGAGTAAAATAGAGAATCGGCCTGAACCTTGGTTAAAACCAAGGAGCAAACAAGCCTAAGGGGTACAGAAAAAAGCATTTGGTTGCTCTAGGGTATATCTATAAATAAACTGCAATCAGATAAGAGCTTGCTCTGCCCATACTCTAATCTGAACCAAACACAGGTGATTGCGACTAGCACAACACCACACCAAGCTCAACCTCATATACCATGCTAAGAAACAATGTATAGCTGAGGCTACAGTGCCTTTGGTTGACTCATACTACTGAAAGAGTTTATTTGTGTCTGCCCACAAAAGGGCCAAGAAGATGCACTGGTGAGCTGTGCACTGGCTGCTCCCCTAGATTAACTTTACAGCAAACAGAAAAAAAGGCCAAAACAGCAATCAGAATAACAGGATGCCATAAGTACCCCTAATACACTGAGCAGAGGAACAGGTGTGAAAATTAAAGTCAGAGGAATCATTTTATGCTGCATATCTGGTCCTCAAGTCTCACACACAAAATCTTTATCTTAAGATTTTTGGTATCTTTTAAAAGTTGCATCCAAAGTTACTGCAGCTGCAGCCTGGGCTGTGAGCATTTTGCAGTTTGCTTCTGTTGCTATCAACACAAAGGCTTAAAAAATGTGTGAGGAGGAAACGATTTTAGGTATGGAACTGAGCAAGCTATAGTAACCACATGGAGCCACAATGGTCTATTTAATTTTCAGCCGTGTTTAATGGTTTATTTGTACTAGAATATACCTTCATAGTCACACTTCAGATTACTAGGATGAACATTTTCAAATTGTTTTGATGAAACAATGCAGTAGTTATTCATGCAAACACATAAACCAGTATTACTTACTACATTCAGAAACCTCCCACATTAGTGCAAAAGTTGAAATTAATCTAGGTAATAGACACATGATATGCAATAATACTTTGGGACAAGAAATACCTTCATCATTACAGTTTCTTTCCTGAAGGGGTAACTGGAAAGATCTCATTTTTGGATTGCCAACAATCCCTAAGACAAAAGGTCAAAGGCACAGTTTTGAATCATTTCAAAATAGACAAAGGATAATATTTCATTTTAGAACATTTTAAAATGTTACAACATTATTTTCAAAACATGTCTTATAAATAGCAAACATACCAAAAACCCACGAGACTCCTTTACTCTAAGCTGAGGTAAAATAAACTTACTCCACTGTATTCTTCTCAAGGCACCTATCTTTGGCAGATGCTACAAGTTACTTAGTGAACTGCACTCAAGGTGCAGAGCTAGAACACAGCACTCTAACCTCATTCCGAGGAAATTCTCTGGATTTCACCATCCCACTTAACCTGACAACTGCCTGCTCCATTCTAGAATGGAAATACTACTTTAGTTTAGCTAATCTTTATAATAAAAGGACCAGAATTGTGGGACCTTAAGCAGCTATAGAAAGTCTTTCTGGAATGGAGACTTAAGCACATAAACTTTATTTTGACTAAGGGGCAAAGGATTCTTTTATCAAATTTATGTCCCCAGTACCCCTAAACATTGTTAAAAATCTTTGAAATGCTCCAGCACAAATTCCTCCTCAGCCAAGAAATGGCTTTTCTCAATATCCAATAAATCTTTTATAGATAGCTTTTTTTGTGTCCATATCCTGCAGAAATATTTAAGGAGCTTCTCTCTCAGAAATCCACAACTCCTGCAAAATAATACCACACTATAGAGGTCCCCAGTTACACACTGCTGCTGGTAACTGCAGCTGGAAAAGTGTCACAGCATCCAGTTGTAGCCTAAAGTTTAAAAATTATAACTGTTCATGCTAAACCAAATTATTCTCATAATTAGTAAGTACTTATTGAAATTAATAAGCCAAAATTAGACACCAGACCACTAGAATACAATGATATTAGTGAAATCTGAAACTAAGGTGGAGAGTTGTGCACATTTCCTCAGCAAGGCTAAACATATAGTAGAAAAGCTTTTGTTTGCAAACAAGACGTTCTTTGTAGAGTCTGTAAGGCAGCAAGCTCAGCACTCTCTTGGCCTGAACACTGCACGGTAGCCATTTCCATCCTGCAGCACACTAACACAGCCAGTTAATACAAAAAACCCACCATTATGCTGGAATTCTGGATCCTTGAGCGTCCCTTGAATACGACAAGAGGGACTCCAGCAAGGCATAGAGCAGCTTTTGGCTGACTTCAGCGCAGGAGGTGTAGAGGAATGCTCTCGACGGGCTGAAGCAAGAGGAACTTGCTCATCAGAAACACTGTTAGGAGGCCACTGATCCTGCCTGAGTGGCAGAGGATCCAAAGTTCCTAGCCCAGCAGGTGGAGAGGTAAGGAGTGAAACAGCTTCCACTTCCACATCAGGCTAAAACACAACAGAAAGAACAAAAAACCACACAAAAACCCAACATCTCATATAGAATCATAGAATCAGAATAGTTTGGGTTGGAAGGGACCTCTAGTCGTCTAGTCCAACCCCCCTGCAATGAGCAGGGACATCTTCAACTACATCAGGCTGCTCAGAGCCCTGTCCAACCTGACCTTCAATGTTTCCTGGGATGGAGCGACCACCACCTCTCTGGGCAATCTGTTCCAGTGTTTCACCACCCTCAGCATAAAACATTTCTTCCTTCTATCTAGTCTAAATCTACCCCCCTTTACTTTAAAGCCATTCCCCCTTGTCCTGTTGCAACAGGCCCTGCTAAAAAGTTTGCCGCCATCTTTTTTATAAGCCCCCTTTAAGTACTGATAGACTGCAGTAAGGTCTCCCTGAAGCCTTCTCCTCTCTAGGCCCAACTCTCTCAGCCTTTCTTCATAGCAGAGGTGTTCCGTCCCCCTCATCATTTTCGTGGCCCTCCTCTGGACCCGCTCCAACAGGTCCATGTCTTTCTTATGCTGAGGGCTCCAGAGCTGGACGCAGTACTCCAGGTGGGGTCTCACCAGAGCAGAGCAGAGGGGCAGAATCACCTCCCTTGACCTGCTGGCCACACTTCTTTTGATGCAGCCCAGGATACGCTTGGCCTTCTGGGCTGAAAATACTTTTTTCTTATAGGTATGCTGTGATTTTTGAATCCTCATACAATCTGTCAAAGCAGAACCACTTCCCATAAGAACACTCAGCCGCAACTGTCTTCTGGCAACTGAGATCTGTGACCTCTGGCTACCAAGCAGCTTCAGTGACACACTGCCATGACTGTTCCGCGACACACTGCCATGACTGTATACAGCCTTCCAGTACAGATGCTTACATATGCAGCAAATGTTGGCTTTACACTGTTACACTTCTCATGAGGGTACTGGAAGAATAAGTATTTCAAGCTTGTGAGAGAGCTTAAAGAAAATCTATTCCTAATAACAAGCATTTAACATGGTCTGAAAGTAATCTAGTCAGGTCAAACCAAAAGCTTATTCTCTTCACAGCAAAAAACTGTTTTCTTAGATTTTAAGCCAACATAACCAACTTCTCATGCAATTGTGCCTGCTTCTATTACAGAACTTACTACAAAGGATGTATGGACTGAAATATTAGCTGTCTTTGTAGAACTCAGACTAAGCACAACTTGACAAAAAAACCACAATATTGAGAGGAAGACAGAAACATTTAGGAGTTGTTTAACTATTTTTCTTTTAGTAACTATGCAAGCTGCAAAGTAAAAGGAGCACAAAAGTAAAGGAAAGGGAGAATGAAACTACTATGGCACATTACCGTATCTTGTACATAGGCACCCAACCTCTCCTTGTTGAATTTCTTTCAAGTCAAGGAATCTGGAACTGTGCCCTATGTCAGTGGCAAGCTACAGTAACGTTAATGGGGAAATCAACAGCTCCTGATGGCAACTTTTTTTTTTTAAACAGATCCTGTGCATTTAGCACAAAAAGCCAAAATGGAGCTCATCCAATCTCACTCCAACAGCCTCAACTCCTTTGCTTGATACCCCCCAAAAAATTACTTATTCAGACATCAGCCTTTTTTAGTCACAGATGCTGAGAATTTTAGAATAGTAAATAGCAACTCAAGAAAAAGATCTATTGAATAAATTATTCAGAATTACTTAAAAAGCACATTCCTAAAATGAATAATGGTAAGTCTTTTTTCTGGCTCACCCGGAAGGACCTTCTTTTTGAAGGTTCTCTTGCACCTCGCTTAGCTGAAGAAGGGTCTGTTCCTAAACCTTGTGTTCGCTGCTGTGAAGATGAAGACTTGAATTTAGGAGGAGACACTAGAACTGCACCTCCTGTTGTAGTGGAGAAGATGAAAAATGCTTTATTACCTTAAATAACCTAATAAATTAATTCATACATGTCTTTTCTCTTTAGTTCTTGAAATACTGCTTTGCATTTAAAAGTCTTTTTACCAACAGTTGGGGTAGTGAGATCATGATGAGTCCTGTGAGCTCCACCAAGTGCTCTCAGCTTCGGAGTAGGAAGCCTGCCACCTGTCCTTGAGGATACAGAAGAAGAATCTGACACAGCTGCAGAAGAATTCAATACTAAGGTATTCTCACTGCAAAAAATGAGATATAATTAAAGGATTAGCTAAGGACTCAGAAGTCTTGCACTCAAGTTTTTTGTTTCTAATACATTCCTACAATGAAGCCTAAGGCAAGACATTTAGGGCCATAAAACACTAACAGCCTGTAGCTAAAACATCCGCTTGCAATGGGGAGTCCTGGATTCCAGCCCTTGAGCCTCAGTTGCTGTATTTATTTTTTTTTTTATGTAACTGGATAAAATACATAAACAGTCTCAAGCTGCAAATTCAGGCTCCCTCTGTCCCAATAAACCTTGAATGTATTGCTGCACAGTAGCAAAGACTCAGCAGGAGGGCTGGAAAGAGTACTCACCCAGAAAAACTTTGAAACTGCTTGCCACCTTAGAGGTGGGAATGTGGGTTTGACTCTTTTCAGTCAATGTGGTGGAACTGAAACCAAGTATTCCACATTTATGTAACTGTTCTAGCCCCCAGGTTATTAAATAAATCAGCACTACCACTTCTGTCTTCTTCCTCCAGATGCATTTCAAAAGGAGGTGGCGGCATACCCACACTGTGCAAGGAACCTGATCCTATTACTGCATGCTAGGCACGCTCTGAGGACATCTAGGCAAAGAATGCCTCATTTCGAGCTCTCAAGCAGGCTTAGATAACATGCAAGTGTTAAGCTGCTCTGCATGGCCAAGTCCAGAGCATATCTCAGCACACGCACAACCACATTGCAGGATGACAGAAAATCTTCAACGTCAATCAGAGACATATCTATGAACTAGATAATCTCCAGAATTAGACAGAAACTTAAGAAGGTTTTCAGGATGATGGTTTTGAAAGCCTGCATTTAATTTCTATTTGAGTCTAGCATCTCAATCTTTCTTTGCCTGGGTTTTGCATACAGGATATTATCACCAAAGACGACAACTGCAATTCCTTACCTTCGATTCATGCTGCAACACCAAAGATAAAACCCAATGAGGAATACAAAATGCTTAGATGGTATGGTAACAAGGGCCAAAGTTACTCAGATTTAAATAGCTATCAAACTAGAATATTGTTCTACTAAAAAAAGTATGCAAAACTTGCACAGTAAAAAGCTAGAGACTTTTCTAACTAGATATAATTTGGATCTTTCAACTGTCAAATACAGTACTATGCACAGTACTATGCACATACTGAATTGATCTCTCATTATTTCTAAATACCCCTCCACCTTTTTCCCACCTGTGCTCAGTAACATAATCACCGGTGATTACTGGATGAGAGGTTTTTTTCCCTCCCAAGTCCTTTATCTTTGCCCATGAATTTTTTTAAGAAAAACAGATGCTTAAGTACAAGATTAGCATGTAATCTACCCTTCCAGTTTTATCAGTCCTATGCTGTCAACTTGAAGCAGATTGTGAGCTTTAATTTTCACTACACTTGGCTGCTGTGTAATGAACAGTCTGTTCTAAGAGGCCCATACTGCAAATTTTATAGTTTTGGAAAAAAACATTAGAATTGTTCATGCTTCTACAAACTTCTGTTCTGCAAGTTAAAAATCCAGTATTCTTAATGATAGATCCATTTCCATCAACCAGCTCAATGTCTTGAACTTTCTTATTCCTTATCATATTGTTAAAAACAAAAGTAGTCTCACACCAACTTATACTCTCTTAAGTAAATCTGATTTAAAAACAAAAATTAGTTAACCTACAAATTTCTGAGATGTTAGAGGAAAAAATTATATATATACACCACAAAACTTTTCAGTTTTACCCTTCAATTTTCTTATCTTCATTGGCATCCTTATTGTTTTTTTCTAACCGCTGAGCCGCGACTACAGCCTGTTCATCTTGTTTTTCTTCCTCTTCTGTTGATTGCCGATTCTCCCTTTCTTCAGCACCTTCTTGTCCACCCCAAACTAAACGCCTTTTGACTGGAACAGTTAAAGCATCTGACATGTCTTTCTTCTCAGCGCTGTCCTGGTGTGGCTGTTCTCTGGAGTCAGGCTGTTGCAGCATTTTGGGGCTTGGTGCAGTCTCTTTTTCAGACACTCTAGGTAACAAAGAAAGCAGTGTTTCATACCATTGATTTGCATGATATACATGTGTCTATGTAGAACACATCCATCCAGCTCAGTCCTTTGCCAAAAGTACAACTCAGATATTAAAAAGTGGTACAGTCGACATAATGAATGGTTAAATTTCCACTAAAGTTTTAACTGATGTTTAAGCATAACCCATTTTTAAACTAGATTCTATGAAAACTCTTTCTGGATTACCATTTCCAAAAATGTAATGTAAAATTAGGGCTCTATTTCCAAGTTAAACAACAAGTTACATTATCAGAAGTGCTCAAAAAATAACTAGTTCCATGCATAGGGACTGTCTGATGCCACAATTTTGAAAGCCAAGCAGTTTAGAAGACTCCTTTTCAGGCACAACTTTTGAAAGTCTTAAACTCTCAAATGCTCACAGAAATCAGTGCAAATTAGCCTAGTGCACAGAAATGAGAGCAGTAAGAGGATCTGTATTTCACAGGCAAAAAAACAAACCAGTAAACCAAAACATTTACACCATACTTAGTATCACACATTATAGCGTAATACTCTTTTACGTGTCATCCCCCAACCCTTATTAGAAATACAGTCATGCAAATGGGTGGATCTCTCCCACACACACAAGTAGTGCACATACAGCAGTCTAAGTGGACTACAGAGGCATCCAAAGCACTGTTTTTAAATATCAGATCTCAGAGAAGACACAAATGGCTTTTTTTTTCTCCTTGCTTGAGCAATAGCTGTCTGTACATTTTACTAAAATACTAATTCTGAATTTTCGTAGCAAGGGATTTAGTATCTGCCAATTGTGACGGCCTTCAAAGACAGGAGAAAATGGATGTACACCATTCCAGTTCCTCAGTCTTCATCTCAGAACTAAACAGTGTCTAAGATTCAACCACAAGATTAATTAATCCTGACAAGAACATTGATAACATCTGAGTAGGCAAAACATATTTCATATCATTCCAGTGGAAAGAATAATATTACTTCAGTATGACTTACTGCGAAATTCCTCCAGACTTGATGAGACTAAGGTTGCCACACTAAATATGCATTTGCGGAGAATTATAAAAGAGTAACTTTCTCTTCTTTCAGAAGACTGGACTGTGCCTCATTTTCAATTTGAGCACATATCAACTGATGTATCTGTGAAAAGGTAAATGCCCTCATCTGTTCTAGAGAATTTACATATCACAGGATCGTAGAACAGCCCAGGCTGGAAGGGTCCTCGAAAGACCATCTGGTCTAACCTTCCATGGGGAAAGGGAGCCTAGATGAGATTATTGAGCACCCTGTCCAATCGCATCTTGAATACAGTCAAACATCCAAGATCTCACAGCTATGCTAAGCCTACATTCAGCATTTTGCTCTGTTTCAAAGCTGCAGAATAATAGGCAGGAATGACCACCTTACCCGGCAAGATCTAGTGCTCTGATGTTGTTGCTGATGCCTTCTTCTGAACTGGAATTTGAGGACACATCCCAAAGACTGTTATTATCGGACAGGATCTGATTGAGATGGTATCGGGAGAAGTGTGTTCCCTCTACTCGTTGCCTGTAAGCTTTTGCTCTTTCTCGAAGTTCTCTCACCTACACATCAAGGTTTCACAAGTTGCACGTCTGTTTAAAGTTCATTAATAGGCTATTATAAAGTACTTGCATTAGCTAATGGCAGCTACAGGAGAAAGGCAAATTACTCATAATACAGGGCCACCCACAGCACAAAAATTGCATGCCGCAGTAAATGCAACAAAAGGAAAGCAAAAATAACAAAAGTGTGTATTTAGTAAGCATGTTTGAGCCATGAAGCCAAAGCAAAATTGTCAATTATTCATTCAATGATCACAAAAAGTTATGCAGCAACTATGAATAAGTTTAGTGCTGGATTCTAGCTTTTCCATCAGCGCTCAGACACAGTGCTCCAAACACTGAAACAGGAACTTAGGTGCAACCAACCTCCATATACCACATGGAATTTAGGGTGTTTTGAGATGCCTAAGGAGAGGAATACAGAATTATTTTTAAATTTATTTTTCTCTCAACACTGTATTGTTACTATCACCCTTCTAACTTTATTTCAGTCTAAGTAAGAAATTAAACACTAAAAACCTGTCAACATAGCTCTATGCTGCCTCCCTGAGATTCAGTAAAAAGCTGTAAAACAAATACATCAGCACTGGTATTTCACCAGTTTTTGCCAAGCCTGAGGAAATTAATTTAGATTTCTAAGCATTAACACTAAAAAATACATTCACCACCAATTTGTTATTATTTCAAGTCAACAGATCGATGTGCATGTGTAATACTGAGTTTGTATGCTGGGAACACTGCAACCGTCTCTAGCTTAATCTTATCTCAGTGAGGAGCTGATGACTACATGAGAACTCTTGGTGCATGTAAGACATAATATCAAAATCATTCCTTCTAGGCTATCAGTAACTGTAAGAATGAGATACAAAACTGTTCAGATGTCAGGTTTAGTCTTAAAAAAAACAGAAGTGATAAGCCCTCTCTTTAGACATTATACTGCTGATTATACACTAGCATTTTTATGCTTAAAACTAGTTAAACACTCACACTGTCTTGTGTCTTTCACCCAAACACAATTAAAGTGCAGGAAGAAAAAGCAACAACAAATTGTTATTAAATTATGTTTAAATTATTAAAAATAACTCTGTGATATTGTTGTGTGAATTCTGGCTCACTAAAAAAATGGTTCACAGGAAATAAGTATTTTGTCAAAGAGCAGGAAAGTAATACTGACACTTCCTTTAGCATATTTTCATAGCTTTTCTTATTTATTCTTCTTTCATGATAGCCTTCGCATCATTCTTCCTGCGAGGAACAGAGTTGCTGGGCCAAATTCCGCTAAACTCACTAAAAGTAACTGAACGCAGCAGATGGAAATCCACTTAGCCCACACCAGCTAACATCCCACAATTTGACCCACTAAACTTCCAAAGAATAGCCTATTAAAAACACATGCTTGTCATTTTAAGAGGGGAGTTTAAAGTTTGAGGTGCAAATGATTTACTGGATTATTCACTTTAAGTAGAAGAATGAAAAATTAATTATGATTGCCACAACAGAAGGAATATAAATCCAGAGCAACAAGACACTGCAGGGGGAGGAAGAATACTATGTCTCCAGTGAATTGTGAAGAAGTACAAAGGACAACCGTCTCCTTCAGTGACTCAGCGGGCAGCATTATCTCAGCAGGACACAGGCCCCAGAGAGTCCTACTGTGATTATGAATTGCCCGCACTAATTTTTTGAAAGCATAATTCAAAGAGATTTTTTCATTTGACTGCTGAAAAGCACCCCTTAGTAATATATTGTAGAGTAGCAGTCTAGGAGTAATCACTACGGCTAAGGTCATACCAGGATTCTATTATGGTATTTGCCTGTTTGGGCACAGAACTTCAGAAAGTCTGCTTTGGACCCAAAGTTACCCATGTGCTGTCTCAACTAAGGGAGAAACCAGACTGGATCAGTCAGAGCTTATCATCTAATCACGCTAAATGAGAGATGTTCTGTAGGCACCTTTGGCAGGGGGGGATTCTCAACAACCCACCAGACGTAGAGGTTAGATACAGCTTTGAAGAACATTTCTCTTCATGTCACTGCATTAGTGTGGGAACAGGTATGGAATCATGTAGAAACCAAAAGGACTGTTGGGCAGCCTATGCTGGGAATGGCCAAAGTACCTTTGTTGCTTTACAATAAAACTGATGCACTTGACACTTTTTTCAAGTTACGCATTCTTTCATTAATCTGCTGTTAACATACTTCTCAAATGGCTAGATTCTTTCTTATGTCTCAACTGTGAATGAAATATTTTATTCAGTCCTATTTTAGCCATGCTGGATCCCATCTTGTAGTTCTTAGAACAAAAATATTGATGTATGCTACCAAAAAAAAAGCCTGGCCAAGAATCGGGTCTATCAGGATTTTTATTCTTGTATTAACAGAGGTTTCAAGAATTAAGCTTGGTTTTCTTCCAACCTGTCTTGAAGACCAGAAAATTCCAAGCTTTAACCTTGCCCTGTGCTTTCACTACACCCACAAAAAGCTTCTTATTAAGAATTACAACCCTCAATGATATATATGGAAATATTAACAAGAAAATAGCAAATTAAAAAAAACTCCATATAGAAAAAATCCCACACAGTAACACATTTACACAAGCTAAATATTATTCCTTGTCTACTAGCAAAACTAGTTTTGATATGCTGTACTGGTTTTGGCTGGGATAGAGTTAAATGTCTTTATAGTAGCTCCTATGGTGCTACGTTTTGGATTTGTGCTGAAAACAGAGTTGATAACAAAGGTATGGTTTAGTTATTGCTGAGCAGTGCTTACACAGGTTCAAGGCCTTTTCTGATTCTCACCCCACCCCACCGGCGAGTAGGCTGGGGGTGCACAAGAAGTTGGGAGGGGACACAGCCAGGACAGATGACCCCAACTGACCAAAGGGATTTTCCATACCATACGACGTCATGCTCAGCGTATAAAGCTGGGGGAAGAAGAAGGGGGGGTGGTAGGAGGGGGGGGGGGGGGGGGGGGCATTCAGAGTGATGGCGTTTGTCTTCCCAAGTAACGGTTATGCGTGATGGAGCCCTGCTTTCCTGGAGACGGCTGAACACCTTCCCTGTCTGCCGACAGGAAGTAGTGAATGAATTCCTTGTTTTGCTTTGCTTGCGCACATAGCTTTTGCTTTACCTATTAAACTGTCTTTATCTCAACCCACGAGTTTTCTCACTTTTACCCTTCCGATTCTCTCCCCCATGCTACCAAGGGGGAGTGAGCGAGCAGCTGTGTGGGGCTTAGCTGCCTACTGGGGTTAAACCACGACATATGCTCACAGGCATGTGATTTAAAGTATAACAGAGACAGGAGAAATTCAGGTAATTCCAATTATAAAAGTCTCTCTCTATAAACTCATAGTAGGATCTAATGTAGGCACGCATACATAAAAATGTGCATGTAATCTAAGCACATTTGTCATAAAATATTCATTATTACAGTCTTAAAATGAATTTGGCTCTTCCAGCTACCCAGCACAACTCCTTCATTTAGAAGGCCCTAAAAATCCTAGTAATTCTTTTTTGAATTCTTCATGCCTACTGCCGAGTGACTTCTTTCTAGTTTCCTGCAATTCCCTTGTCAGCAAGAAAATCTCCATGGAAAAGTCAGACATATCCAAAACACTTATCTACAGTGTGGGAATTTCTTGGTTTCTCATATACTCTCATTAAATGCTGCATATATTTACTTCCTACATCTCTGACACATGACCCATAAAGGATCCTGCCTGGTAAAGCAGAACATCCACCCTCCACTTGCAGTCTCCTCATTCTTTCCATTGACTGCACTGCAGCGACTCCTCCCAGCTGGCTGTGCTGCAAACACAATATACTGCAAGGCAATGTGTCCCTCTCCCTTTACCTGCCTACCAGTCAGTTGCTCTTGAAGCTGAGCAATGCTCCTGACTGTTTTGAATGTTACTGATGCACCATCCAATCTCCACATGAAAGTCTTACATGCCAGAAAAATGACATAATATTCTACAGAAATATTCTGTATACCACTTAGTCAGGCTGCATGCAATAGTTCAGAATATTCTACAGCCTTAGTTACAGTAAATCTAGTGCATATATCAATACATATAAAAAATAAAAATATTGCTTGGTTTTAGTCTTCTAACATCCTCTTGAGGCTGTTTTCACAGAATGGATTCTCTCATGCATGTATACACAAAATCTGATTATGAATCATCGCATACTACGATACAGTTTAAACCCTGAGACCTATTTCTCATTGAGTATTTTGTATATATTCAAGATATTATTTCTTTTTGCCTAAAAAGAAAATTACTTGCTAGATTAAGTCCAGTGAGAAAACACAGAACTGAATGCTACCGCACTACTCCTGCAATTCTCAGAAAATGTTATTTTCAGAATCTCAGAGCCCAACACCCTAGAGCCATCCGCTCCACTCCCACCTTCCACATCAGCTTGGTCCCAATTGATGAGGAAACACATTTCCAAGTATTTGCCACACACGTAGCAGTGCACAGTGTCTCACAAAGGCTCCCTCTATCAGCTGGGAAAAGACTAAGTCAATTCAGTGAAATCTGACAGTTGCAGAACTAGCTCTAGCAGTTCCTTAGCACACTGCTAACAGTTTTGATTTACTTGACTAATTCAGGAAATCATACTCAATAATCCTGCTAAGAAATCCTGTGGTCCTGAAGCTGTTCAGCATTTTCAGAGTTCTGTCAAATGAGTTCCTATACAGTATAATACTGGTCGCAGTTACTGAATAAACTAGAAAATACTTAGACTGGCTGAAACTTGCAAGAGAAATTCTCAATTTTATGTTGTGTGTAACTGAATTCAGCTGACTGCTTTGAATGGATTCAGCATGGCAAGCTAACAAACTGAGCCTGACTATGAAGCTGACCTAGGCTGATACATATGTTGGCCTTTTCCTTTTATTCCCTTGGAATCTCCTATCATCCACTTCTGCATTTTGAAAACTTCTGCTTGTTAAAACTGGGCTGAACATCAACGCTGAGATTATCTGCTCCAAAAGACTCTGTTCTGAATGATTCTGATTGTAAGGGAAACAAAACTCCTCGTTTGCTTTGGATGTCACATTAATATATTCTTTGAGTCACGCCATCTCTTATTTTTTCTTGCTATATATTACACTGACTTGTCAGAACCTAATCCTCACCTTTGGGAGCTTGAGTCATTAGCATTACAATCTCAAAACTGTATCTTACAAACCCACAATTCAAAGTTTTTTGCATCTAAAAATCAAAATACAAAGCATACTGAGGCTTCAGATTTTTTTAAGAATACTCACCTGGCTGGGAACTTTACTCCTAATACGAGACCAAGCTCCATCTTTGTAGAAATACTGGCCTGGAGACAAAAATTTTGACCTATATTCAGTGTTCATCTTCCTAAGAAATCAAGAATGAGGAGAGGAAAAAAAGACAGAAAGAGTAAAGCTTGATATCCAGAATACTCTTTAAGAGCACTTTAAAAAGTTATATCAACAATCGTAAGTATACTTGCACTTAAATGCCAGGGCTGAGATGTGAAAAATGCATGCTTTGAAACACAGCTCATCTATACCAACAGAGCTAGGAAAGCTGTGAAAAAGCTCATTCACAGTTGGTGGCTCTTCAAGTAGTTATTCCTGTTGGTTTTTCCTCACAACCCTTCCACCAGAAGCTTTTGCCCTGACAGCCAAATCAGAACAGCAGACTATAATACACACGTAAGCCTCAATTATTTCAACGCAAAGTGCAGCACCTTGGTTTAAGTCACTGATGAAGGTGCATTTAAGTAAAAATGCTTGGTTTGGCACTAATGTGTCTGAGACATTTCCTTCTGTGAACTCCACTCCAAAGGTGCTCTGCGTATAGGTGGGGTGAACTGTTGGGGCTAGAAACAGCTGACTACCAGAACAATGGTCAGTATAATTCATCTAACTATGTCCTACTGGCTTTGATCTTCAAAAGGCCTCCGTACTTGAAAAGATGGATTCATTTACCCCTTCTGCCACACACATACATACACAGAAAAATTAACATCATCTAACCTATAGCAGGCAATAAGCAGTACTTCAAGTCCTTAAGCACTGAACTGTGGATTTATCAGCTTAAATCTAAAGAGGTTTTTGTTCTTAATCTCGCTTCAGAACATTACTAACTTTAATATATTCAGCATTGGGTGAAAAAGTCCTCTTTTTCAGTCCTTCTTCAGAAATAGATCATAAAAGCCTGAAGTCAGAGAATAAAATGCACCTTGTAAAAAGAAAAATACCAAGGCAAAAAACCCTTATTATTCAAAATTTCTTTCCGTACGTCCCTTTCTTTGAAACTGACAGAATTCCTTCAGTTTTGGTTGCAACACTAATGGATTAGCTCAAAAAAAACATCACTGCTGTGCCTTGATCCCAGTCATTCTGCTGCAAAAGCAGGCCATGCAATGCAGCTTGCATACAAAGTGACAGTCCTGTCTGCATATTGAGAACTTGCACATTTTGACAGCTATTTGCCCAGTGACTGCTTTGGAAACTTTTGTCTTGTGCTACCACACTGAAGGCATAAGAGGCAGAAATTTGTCCTTAAATTAAAAAAGACATAGCAAATGATCAAGAACTTTACACACTGCTCACTGCAAAATTGACTACAATCTACGTCAAAGATCTACGAAACCCAAGGAGTTAAAGGTTTTAACTACACTATATCCACTCATTTTTTCATAAAGCAATTTTATTTCATAGAATTTTGGGTGATCGCGTTGTAATTATCTCCCAATATCCAACAGCATTCAGACCTAGGTAAGTCTCCTCCCCCATCTTTAATCTAATGCCTTAACATTGCCAGAAAGTCATGTGAATGAAAGCAATCGCTGGGACACACATTAAGCACAAAGACAGCAGAGATGGATTAATTTTATGCATTGTAAAACCTACATCCATTCTGGGCTTTTATTTCTCTTGGCATATCTCAGATGTGTAGAAAATGGAAACATGGGTTCAGTTCCTGCAATATAGGTATGTGGCAGAAGAAAAAGATACTTTGATAGCGCTCAGCAACATACAATTTCATTTTATTTCCACGCTTGTCAGATTACCCTAACTGGGACAGATTTCTTTACTTCCCTTTACCTCGTGTTTGCTTTTGTTACTCTGGGACAGAAGGTGGTACGGACTAGAAAAAGCAGACATCAAGTACAATCATCACAGTTTTAAGGCATGGAGCAAGCACAGGAGAGCAGTTTGAAAGGTGACTACAACTTCCAAAGCACTCGCTGAAAGTTTAGTAGCAGCACTGCACCAATTTAATTTCATTCATGTTAAGTTTATTAATAATATTATCATTTCCTCAGAAGGTTCAACTGAACGAATGTGGTTACAAAGCTTCCACTTCCACTGCCTGCGGAGAAGGGGATGGAAATTAACACCAGGTTTAGATGTACACACAAGAAGCTCAATCCCAGCGCTGCGAGGGGGCGTTTGCCCCTGCAACTGTAGCATGGCGTGGTTAAAGGTCCTTTGTCCATCATTCTAAATATTAGGCTGCTGGACACCTATTCACTAGGCTAGGTTTTCCTATTTTATACATACCCACGACTTGTATGTAAAGAGAGGGGCTTTGGACTGATATGTTGCTTATTTTTTTGTTTAGGATGTTTCTGTTCTGATCTCCCTTGTTTTGCTGCATCTTCTGCTGGCTTTTGAAACGGTTCTTCCCTCTTACTCTAAGGCAAAGATAATTTTAAAAATACCATTAGCTAACAATCTGAAAACCCTCATATTCCTTTTGACATCAAGCTTTTGCAAAAAGTTAATTTTATTTTAGTGTTAGCTGTTTCACATATTTAATACAAAAAAGAATATTACATTCCTTTGTTAATACAAAAATAAACTAGCAAAATGCCAAAGCTAAGATTCTGAGTGCAACATTCAGTTAGTTAGATGACCTATTTTGTATGCTTTACAAAACGAATTTAACATGAAACACAGAAATAAAATAATACAATACCTGTGCATTCTAAGCTGTCTGTGTAAGACTTAACGTGTATTTCTGGAGTTTGTAATAATTAAAAAAAATAAAAACTCTTAGCTTTATAGTCAAGCAATATAAACCAATTTATAAAAAAACAAAAGGCAAATTTTTCATTTGCTGCCATTCTGGTTTATAAAGGGTCAGATTGACTTGTTCAGTTTTCACATCAAAGGTATTTTTTTTCCTGCTTATTTTATCCTCTTGGAAATCCCATGCATGATTTCCGATTCTGCTAGAGACCTTCACAGATATTGTTCAAATTCAAGGAAAAAAAAAAAAAGGAAAGCAAAAAAAAAGCCCACCAAAATCCCCCAAAACTTTTTCAAGTTACTCATCAGAGAAGAGATATCGGTAAAAACAAAAAGTGTTTTAGACACTTTCACCAAAATTCCCTTCTCGTGCCTTCTCTTCTTTCACTTTATTAGTTCTCTTGGGAAAACATAACCTGACTTTCCAATATGAAAAACAAACAAATGCTTCCTGAAAGCCTCATACCTTTCAAGCTTTCTTCACATCTGCTAAAAGAGGCAAAAAGGGACATAAAATTCCTCATTCCCAGATGAGATTTAAAGCAGTGGGCAGGTCTGAGTTTTAAATGATAAAGCCTCCAAGCCAACAATCATCTTTAAGAACCTCAAAAGTACCAACAGCTTAAACTGAGCCACAGGCACTCCATGTTAAGTGTGCATTTTGCTCAGTAACGGTCCTAGCGAACATGGTGTCTGACAATGGCTCTTTCTGTTTTATCAAGGAACAGAGATGGGTACTGAAGAGGCTCATATTTGGTCCTTCTACCTGAAGGATGGTTAGCTAACCTGCAGGAATTTAGACAACACTACACTTGGCAGCTTGCTACAAAAATAGACATTCATATGTCCACCTTGCTAAACAGGTTAGCTGTCACGCAGTCTAAACTGCTCTCACCTATTTTTAGAAGGTCTCAGTCTGAAACAATTCCTTTTCATTACATGTATCCGGTAAAATGGCCATAGCCACGTTTCCTAAAAGTCCACTTAAGTTTGTCCAAGCCAACAGCAAGACAAGGAAGTGCAAGGCCTCAGAGAGCCAAATTACTTTCATAAAAGACATTTTAATGTTTTGAACTGAGTAAGAGAGCCTACGTAGGCTACACAATGTCCTGTTATGGCCCTGTGCTAAATACAATTACTTACCTTCCAACCTATCAAGGCAAAGGCAAATGAATTGTAACCCTTCCTCCATGTTTCTTCAAATTACAACTATTGGGTGAAAATCAGTTCCAACTGTGGCATCTTCCATACCTCAAAATATTGTTTTTATATTCACACTATGTCTGATTTATGAGTTTAAAAGTTCCAGACTTCCTATCCAGCCCTTCTGCATACCAAGAGACTATACTGGTACCAATGAGAGTATAAATCAGAGATTTAGATTTCAGAAACTATCCTACAGACAAAGTTTCAATTTAAAAAAAAAAAAAAAAAAAAAGAACCCACTTGAAAAATCATAAATTAAGGTGACAGGAAAAACACACTAAAAATGTCATTGTAAACTGAACAAATGCACTACAGAAACTACAGAACCCACTACAGAAACCCCTAAGAGCAAACAGAGCTGTACAGTGTTATTTTCACTCTTTTATAGCAAAACCACTACTAACTGAGCCCAGTGTCATTAGCAACAGCTCTAAAATGTAACTAAAAAATTTCAAAATAAACCCACCCCTGCATTATAGAAAAGAACAATCAAAATTATATAGCTATACTAATGCCTTTCTTTTAGGAAAATATTTACTTGTTCACAAACCAGAAATTCTTTCTCTTCTGCACCACCTCTCTCTTGTGGACCCTTAACAGGAGGAGACCCTTTCAAATTTCTCTCAAATGCAGTTTCAGAAGTAATTGCAGGAGATTTAAACGGAGGTATGGACTTACTTGTGTTGCAAATAACCTTTGGGGAAAGAAAACAAACGAAAAAAGAAGAGTGTGATTTGCTTACCTTAAGGCTAAATTTTCAAAATCCGTTAACCAATTTATGCAAATACACGCACATATGAGCGGAGAGACGGTCATGTGTACAAATACAGCATGTGCAGACTAATTAACTTCTAGGACAAACTGAAGAGAAACTTAATCTGACAAAAATACATTTAAAAGTGACAGAGTCAGGCACAGTTAAACCTGCAGTCACTGTTCTTAGTGAAGTTCACTAACAGAGGTTTTCTTTATTTGGGAAGACAGTTCACCTTCAGAGTTGTATGTCCCTACGACTCCTCAGTACACGTCCAGTCCATAAGAAACAGACAACTGTTCTGTGCTTTAGAACCAGATGCTTAGGGCTTGGTAATTTGAGCTATCCACTCTTTTCCAATCAATACTGTATTATAAACCAAGGTAGAGAATTTGCCTAATACGTGGTCAGGTATCATCTCCTCATGGGGTGCTGAATTAAAAGACCATGCCATGTGTCACAAGCATACATTTTCCCCAACTTTGCTATGAGAGTTTAGGTCTGACTTATAACATAACTTGGATAACTGATATTTTCACAGAATCTTTTCAAGGGAAAGGTATTGTCATTATTCAGCATTCAGGTATATTCTCCATCATATCAACAGCAATCAAAAGAAAATCAGTTTGTTAACAGGTCTGATTTTTATCATGAAACTCTAATCTTAAGTTTAGAACCTGCAAACATTTATACATATTTAGATTTTCTCTAAGTTCTATGTATCTAAGGATTTATAGTGCCTACAGACTTATTCTTACAGCTTCTTATTCTGTATAAGCTGTGCAAAAAAAAAGTTTCCCGTTGTAGATTCCACAGTCTTTCTTCTGAAACAGCACAATGTTCACAAGCATCAATAATGAAATTATCAAACTGATTTCTAATAGAATCAAATGGAATTCTCCATGAAATTTTCCATAAGGTGACATTCTGGGACCTGCCTCTTCCTCAAATGGCCCTTTGGCTTCTATACTATTGTCATGCATTTCAGTGAGTTTTCCTTGCATAAGGGACTGCTGGGAAACAGATATCTCAAAGTCAGTCCACCTGCTTGGCATTCCAAAAAGAAAAAGACAGGAACAGTTTTTATAGTGATTGATCCTAGTTACCAACATTTATGGCCTCTGAAAGCTGATACTGAACAAATCTGCTACCTGTGGGTAAAAACAGAGAGAGCACCATCTGTAATAATCCCATTAATGTATATGCTCCTAGTGAAGAAACAGAAGATAAAATAAAAGCGGAAGTGCCTATTTTATACTGCAAAATGACCAAAAGATGGACTCAGGCTCCTAAGTCCTGATCCCAGTAACAATGAATTGAAAACACAAAGCAGTCTCACAATCAGAGTTACTCTTTGTGGTTTGATTAGGAATAGCAGGATTTCCAACCCTACAAAGTCCAAAAACTCATGCTATATATCAAAATGCCACAAGAGTGTCTTAAAATCAAAAGATTCCACTTTTAAATATAAGCAGTTCTCATGAAAGAAAAAAACACTACAAAGATGCACTTTAGGGCCTAGAAGTATATGTGCACAGAGATGGAGACTGAGAATAAGAAACTGCAGTAACCCATAAAAGACCATGAGAATAAATAGTGAAACCGGAATAATTTCAGTGGCAAGACATGTTATTACAATACAGAACACCTGAACATTCATCTGTTGATTAGCTCTACATTAGATAACATAAAAATATTAAAAATGAAGGGTAACATTGAGTCGGATCTTAGAGCTCCTAAGGTAAATTAATGCAAACAGAAGAAAATAGTCCTGTTAGAAAGGACAGAATACAACCAGGGAGAATAAGGATAAGTAATTAGACCTGACTACAATAAAGAATCACAGGGAAACAAATCTAACTATACTGCACTTCTGTATGTATAGGAAGAACAAAAAAAATACCATGTAACAGCATTCAAATTTGGACCACCCCACCCCACCAAAGAGGAAGAAAAGAAAACTTGGAAAGTAAGCAACTTCGCTGATAAATGAATACTTTCTTTTATGTACTTTTTGGACTCTTTAAAGTTACCTGTTCAGCTGCAAGTATTGGTGACTTTTCATGAGGACTCTTCCAAACAAATTGGCTTTGATATTCAGAATTTCTGGGGAAAGTATTTAAACGTGAAATATTCATGCCTGCTTTCCTCTGAAGGACTCTGTGACGCTGACAACATAAAAAAGAAAAAATAATTAACACCGATTGTTCCCTTTCCTACAACGTTTTGCAAGTCAAGTATCTTTCAATGCACACTTTCAAACCAATGGTTTGGATTTTGGTTGTATGAATTAAATTAATGCAAAGTACATTTTCTCATTATAGCCAATAATCCCAAAAAGTCTATACGTCATTGGCTTAATCCTTGCTTAACTGAAATCAACAGGGACAGCATATGAAGGGCAAAATTCCTATTGACCTAAGCGGAACCAAAATCTGGTCTCAAAAGTACTGCTCCCCCAACAGAGAAGCTACAATACAGAAGAACATCAAAATACAGAACTAAGGAGAGAGTGAGACAACAGAGGCTAGTGTATTTCTATTACTGTAAATATCAGATTAGTAATTTTTACACTGGTCAATTACAAAAAAGATATATCTTCCCTTACCCCATTACCCATTTTTTCAAATTCCTTTTTTGGAGATGCAAATGCTTCATTTTGATTTGGCGGAGCTGCAGAGGGTGATCTCTTCATGTTGTTTTCTGCAAGGGCAAGAGATGTTTCACCTCTACAATCTACTGAATCTGACCAAACTTTTGGGGGGAGTCTGGGTCCTTCTGGTGTTTCAATTTTTTCCTGATTCACACCATTGTTGTTGTGGTCTATGTGCAACTCTGCAGTCTTAAGATCCTCAGTTTCAAGTGGGTCATTCAAATCACAATCTGCTGCCCATTCAAAGGACTTTGAAATCTGTGGATTATGGTAAGGTACCCTTCTCTTGGAAATGAAGTTTGGTTCTCTTGTGATTCCTGAAAAAGACATATTAGGTTTAACAAAAACATTCTACTGAAGACATAATATCACTCTACTACAAGAACAAACTGAAAGTTTATCTTACAACTGATTATTAGAAAAAAACTATTTTAGTATCTTTGAGCAGTGACACCCTATGAATTATGGGCATGGCTGTGAAATTCTGTCTTCTCTCCTATCTGCGAATGCCTTTCCTTTCCACTAAAGAGAGGTGGGAACATGGTGCTCCAGGACCATGTGGTATATAACCCTATAAAGCAAATATGACCACAGGACAATCTTTTGCAAGTTGATTCTGGGCATTGAACAACAACAGCAGAATTAACACAGCCAGTGTAAAGCATGTGGTTAACACAGATACAGAACAACCAACCTGCAGTGATAAAAAAATGCCACAAACACTTCTCATTGCACATGCACAATATACCTTGCTGAACAGGTTCTCACCTACTGTGACAACAGTGACAGATCCCTATCCATCTAATACAACTGTGATTTAAAACCTTCTCAGATAGCTGGCGACATTTTACAGTACGAACACAAAAACATTTCCAAAATTGTAAAAAACGCTATGTAACAAAACCAGGTATCAAATTATTTTAAAGAATAACTGGCCATTACATGTGCAAATGAAAATAAAATTACCCTATCATTTTAAGACGAGGACTGAATGACTGAACACATTTAAAGCAGAAAATCACAATCCAACCTCAAAGTCCTCAACTGTGATGGACAAATAAGTGAAGGCCCCTAACTGGCTGAAAGAAACACTTTCTAGGAGAGAGAGAGAAACTCCTATCTCATGAAAAAGCAATGTCGAGAGAGAGAACAACCTACAGTGAAAGGTACACAGAATGTGTGGATGTCCCAATAAACATACAGGCAGTAGGAAATAATTCCAGTGGAAAAGCACTGGAAAAGAAGCAGGAAGGAACTCAGAGCACCTGCAGCTGTTAACTTTTTGTGGTGATGTTCCAAGTCAATCTTAAAATTGCCAACTATGTGTTTCAACAGAAGAACCAGAAGTTTAAGTTAATTATCAAAACCAACCTGCAAATCCTATGAGGTGTCAAGAGTGACATTTGAAGACGCACATGGTTAAACGGCCAGAAAAGATGTGGGAGTGAAAATAAATGCAAAGGTGGAGGAAAACTACACCAAGCACACAAAAAACCACCACTACAACGTGAGGAGGAGGAAAAACTGCTGTATTGCTAACTCATGACTTTATTGCAAGTCTTGTAAAATTTGCAGTTTAATTCAACTGGAAAAGAAGCATAGCTTACAATTCTAAAAATAAGTTAATGTGTTTGGATGTTTGGGTGTTTCAGAATTCGTGGAAGTTATTCTCTTCAATACAGGGGCCCATACACAGAGCCATGTGCTAGGGAAAGCAAGGTTAAAGAAATACATACTTTTGCAGTAACAGAAGCAAGCAGTAATATATATCAAGCATAATCTTTGGCAAGATTAAATTATTTATTAAAATGTCTGGTATCTCAACTGAAAACAAACCATACTCCCAGCAGTTGCTTCTTAATTACTAGGCCATAATTTAGAACACTAAATATACTGTAGAAATGCATATATGGGACTGTAATTACACAGACTGCATAGTGTGGTTGCACTGAATTGCACATTTTTGTTAATCTGTCTTGTGCCACTACAGTAACTCCTATTTTTTACTGCTGCTTTTCAAAGCACTGCACTTGTCATCACTCTGCAGCTTATTCCTTTTCCTCAGCTCTCTATGGACCTTTCAGTCCAGATGCTATTTCCTTTGTCTTCTACTTTCCAATCCCACATTTTCCTGCCATGATAATGTCTACAACCCCTAACTCCTAGACTACAGCATCCCCAGCTTTTCCATTTGATGCCCATCTTTTCTTTTTTTTTCCCCTAGTTAGCTGCCCCTGTAGGTCTTCATAAAAGTTTTACTTTGTATCAAACTTTGCCCTAGTCTCCTCTTAAATACAGAATTCCACTTACTGTTTCCATGCGCCACAGGTAACCCAATGCCTCCTTCTACACACCCCATATGGGTTAATAGTGCATCTGTGCTTCACGTTTGGGACTCAGCTTACGCTGCATGTCAGAAACCACGTATTTTTCGTGTTTTATATAAATAGCACCGACATTAAAAGAAAGTTTCGGTGTAGCCAGAAAGAATATGTCATTCAAAAACATATTCTAAATGATGACCAGGAATATACTTTTAACTGTATAAAGCGCACAAACTGCAAACGCTACCAGTTCACTGTGGTCATGCACTCAATCACAGCAAACCTCTCTAGACCTCCTGCAGCCCAGGCTCATCCTTGCCAGAGTCGGCTTAGACAGCGCCGGGGTTTGCGACCGAGGGGGCAAGCTTCCAGGGCTGCTTACCGAACTGATCTGACCGAAGTCCTGCCCACAAGGATTTCTGCTGTCGGGATGGGCTACAAAACTCTGGGGTTTTCCACTTGAAGTTTCTCTTATATTCGCTCAGTCCCTGCAGCAAACAGAGGTGTCTGTCAAGTGACCGGTGCATATCCTGCTCCGCTGCTTCTGTCGGCAAGCGATCTCCACGGGGACGAACACCAACAAGGCCGCTGCAGGATTCAGCCAAGCTGGCAGGTTGCTCTGCATCTTCCAAACCCACCCCCATCGCAGAGCGAAAACTACTTGACTGCTCTCCGAATAGCAGGAAACAGCATCGAATACTTCCATGCACCAAAAAGTATGCGAAAACTTATTTGTATCTTTAAGTTAATAAAATTTCAGGAGCAAATACAGCCTGAACCCTCTGCCACCCACACGACTGAACTCTTTCTGCCTTTATTAGCCAGCGCTCCTCAGCGCAAGGGTCTCCCCTTTCCCGCTTCGCCGGTGGCACCCCGGAAACGGCCGTACCCCCTCCTTCTGCCGACCGCAGGGGCCGGCCGGCCC